GCTCTTAAATCTGAATAAATTTTTAGTCCACGGCCCGCTCGTAGTCATCGACTGTTCTCGACAAAACGAGTCGATCAAGAGCGCCACTGTGGATGTTCGCGTAGAGTTTGATTGCAAGGAGAACATTCCCTCTAATACCACAGCTTACTGTCTTATCATTCACGATCGAGTGGTGGAGTACAATCCGCTCACCAACGTTGTGCGCAGAATCGTATAAGCGCGATGATATTCAAAATATGAAGAGAGAATAATAGAGGCGCACACTTCGAGTACCGCTAACAACGACGATGGACGAGCCGATCTTCGTCGATCTTCAAGGTTTCGTAGTTAACGAGAGATTCGTCGCAAAAGAAGTAGCCGTGTTAAGAAATGGCGCGGAATTGACGCATCACATCTTTCGCGCACCAATGTCTTGGGATCTGCTAACGAGAGCGGAAAAATTGCGAGCGTGTTGGTTAACATATAACCATCATCAACTAAAGTGGAATGACGGACACGTGAATTACGGATCGATGAAAAGACTCGTTCGGGACGCTGTATGCCGAGAATCTAGCCCCGATTCGACGATAAGAATCTACGTCAAGGGTCATGAGAAGAAAAAATGGCTAATCGAGATCTTAGGGAACGTCGCCGACGATCGCGACGTAGCCGTCTCCGTCGAGACCATCGACGCCGATTACGAGGACATCAAACGTCTGGAGACTCTAAACGCTTTGCGGGCCTTTCGCTGCGGATATTATGCGAAGAATTGCGCGTTGGAGAACGCTTGCAAATTGCACGATCGGTGGTTCGAACGACGCGATCATTTGCGTAATATGTGCGATTGATTTATCTTTACATATTAAACCAACACTATTTTTATCGCGAGCGCGTATCTTTACGCGATAAGAGAGCGCCAACGCTTACTACAAAAGGCGCGAAAGAAGGATAGCGCGAGAGCGAGAGGATGTTGAAGAAGGAAAGAGAAGCGAAAAGAATCGACGCTTCGTTTAATATATAGCATTTATTCGTAAAAATCACATTTTACAAATGCGCACGTGCGATACACGAAGTATATAAGTATGAACAAAAATAAAATTTTATTAGCGTGTAAAGTTACAGCTGGAAGAACGGCTGCGATTCGGGCTCGTAACCCTCCAATTGTACATTCGCCGGCGGTTCATCCTCGTCGACCGTAGACGGTTCGGCCTCGTTCTCCATCGGCTGCGATTCGCGCTCTTCGCCGATTAGCTGCGATTCGGGCTCCTCGTCGATCGGTCGCGATTCGGGCTCCTCGTCGATCGATCGCGATTCGGGCTCCTCGTCGATTTTCCGCGATTCGTGCTCCTCGTCGATCGGTGACGCGACGACTCGTCTATGGGAGCGTCCCGTTTGACCACGTTGATATTGACCACGGTCCCGATTTCGCAACGTGGTCAATCTCAATGTGGTTAATCGGGACGCTCCCCATCTCCCGACTTACCTTTCCATAAGATTCTCGCTGAGTTTCCTGAATTAACTCGTTTTGCTCCTATATCCACAACCAAGATTCATCAAATTAAACATCATATTATTACAAAAGGACCACCAATTGCTTCAACTCTTCGCAGATTGTCACGAGAAAAATTAAAATTTGCAAGGGACGAATTTAATTTTATGGTGAAACAAGAATTTGTCGACCATCAAGCAGCACCAGGGTATCGATCATGTAACTTTTCCCCTGGGGCGAAAACGTAAAAAGTGAAAAATTTTGCCATTATTTTCAATGGTAATTTTTTTCACTTTTCACGTTTCCGCCCTAGAGAAAAAGTTACATGATCGATACCCTGGGCAGCTCCACTTCACATGGTTCCCAAAAACGGACTGAACTCGTGAAGACTTTGCGGTGACTATCGGGCTTTAAATGCAGCCACTAATCCAGATCGATAACCGCTTCCTCACATCCAGGATTTCACTGCTGGTCTACACGGTCAAAATATATTTTCAAAAATTGATTTAATTAAAGCCTATTATCAAGTGTCAGTTGCAAAAGAAGACATACCCAAAACAGCTGTTACTACTCCATTTGGCCTTTTTGAATTTCTTGCGGTGCCCTTTGGTTTGCGTAATGCTGTTCAAACTTTTCAACGGCTTATGAATATTATACTATCTGGACTTGATTTTTGTGTCCGTTATCTTGATGATATTTTAATAGCCTCAGTGGATGAGAAAGAATATTCCAAACATCCTCATACTGTGTTTTCTTGTCTCAAACAATTCGGCATGACTATTAATTTGTCCAAATGTCTTTTTGGTAAAGATGAAATTTCTTTCCTTGGTTATTTAATTTCCAAACAAGGAATTAAATCGACATCTGAAAAAGTTAAAGCCATAATTGATTACAAAAAACCGAGAACGATTCATGAATTACGAAGATTTATAGGAATTATCAACTTTTATCGTCGTTATCTAAAGAATGCTGCATCACATCAAACAGTTCTTACAGATTATTTAAAGGATAGCAAGAAAAGAGACAAAAGATTAATCACCTGGACTTCTGAAGCTGAAGAAGTCTTCAAAATTTGAAAGAAGGAAAGAAGGAAGTCTTACGAGTCACAACCCTCGAGCACATCCAGCTTCGACTGTACCTTTTATCCTCACTTGTGACGCATTGGATTTTGCAGTAGGTGCATTCTTAGAACAAATAATTGATGGGATTAACAAACCAATTGCTTTTTTCTCAATGAAATTAGACACTCAACGCAATTACAGTACTTACGACCGTAAACTTCTTGGTATTTATTTAGCCATCAAACCTTTTAGATACATGCTTGAAGAACGTCAAATTCTTATTCGGACAGATCACAAACCTCTAATTTACGCTTTTCAACAAAAATGAGATAAAGCTTCACCCAGACAAATCCGATATCTTGATTTCATCGCTCAATTTTCAACCAACATCGAGCATATTTCTGGTAAGCAAAATGTAGTTGCAGATTCCCTCTCAAGAAATGAATCCGTTTCAATGCCAGTCATAGTTTCTCTGGAAGAATTAGCCGAATTGCAAAAAGAAGATGAAGAATTAAAAATACTAATTTTTCCCTCAAGCTTCAAAAACTTATTTTTACTGGTTCGACTACACCCATTTTCTGTGACTGCTCCACTCTTAACATTCGTCCTTATGTACCTCCGCAGCTTCGTAGAAGAATATTTGATGTTGTCCATGGTTTATCTCATCCAAGTGGTCGTTCTACCTGTAAATTAATACAACAAAAATTTATTAGGTGTACAAATAAGTTTCCGCCGTTTTTTATTAAAAATTGGGCATTTATTGTGAAAGAACGGAACCTAATGTTTTATTTGAAATATTGTCCATCGCTTGCCACTACTTTTTCCCATCTTTCTGGCAGCATACGGATACCGCGTCGGAAGAATGCTTCATCTTTTGAGGCTATCCACGAATCGACCCAATTTTTGGTATCTTCATATGATGTGAAGTGTTGCTCAGACAGGCCATGCGCCATCGATCTAAACATGTGGAAATCAGAAGGAGCAATGTCTGGTGAATACGGCGGGTGAAACTTAATGAAATTTATTTAGTTAAAAATAGTGCAGTCAAACTATTGTGTAAAAGAAAACTACTGGAATTAAGAATGAAAGAAACTGAAAATCCAGCCGAGTTTTTTAATGACTTTGAAAAACTGATGAATGAACTAAAAAATGCTGGTGAAACTGTGAGCAACGATGATAAATTAAACTATCTACTGTTGACGCTTCCTAAGAGTATGTCACATATAGTTGATGTAGTTGATGCTTTACCAGATAAAGGCAAATCAGTAGAATACGTAAAATCCAAACTAACATTAGAATTTCAAAAACGTGAAGATAACAATGGTAACATAAAAAATAATCTTTAAGCATTTAATTCCCAAATGCCAAAAAAGGTAAGAATTTTAATCAACAACAAAATAACAAATATTTTAATTCAAGAAACTTCAACAATAATCAACCGAGCAATTCAAGATATCAAAATAATCAGGAAAAGCCAGATAATTAGATAAAAAGATGTTATAAATGTAACAGACTAGGACACATAGCGTTTTTGTTGGAACAATTCAAATGGACAAAACAGATATTCAAGAAATCTCAACAGAAGTAATTTAATGAGAATCGCTGGAAATTCAGTTGTAAATGACGAAAGTGAAAGAAATACTTTTAATGTCGAAGTTATGACAACGGCTAAAAAGTCAAATGAAAAAAACATGTTAGTTGAAGAAGTTACATGGTTATTGGATAATGATTGCTCAGATCATATTGTGTGAACTCTGATAAATATTTCTCGACGTCTGTAAAGTTGGAAACTCCTGTGGATATTAAAGTGGGTGATGGCTTCTCACTACAATCCGATAAAATTGGAAATATTACTATTTTTTTTAACGTTGCTGATAAACAAA